TTACATAATATATACCATATAAAATATATAATATAATATACAAAAGTATAAAATAAGCAAAATATCAGCATCCAATTCCAATTTTAGATATTAGTTGAGATTCTACAATATTTATACAACATTTTTTTTTTTTTTCAGTATTTTGAGACAGGGTCTCCTGTAGCCTCAGCTGGTCTGGAACTTGCTATGTAGACAAGGCTTGCTTCTATCTCACAAAGATCTGCTTGCCTCTGCCTCCTGAGTGCTGGGATTAAAGGTGTGTGCTACATTGCCAGGCTATTTATATAATACATTTTTTTAACTTTTAAAAAAACTTCATTGAGAATTTCATACATGCATATATGGTGTTTTGATCAAATCCATGCCCACTCCCTCCCCTCCAGCACTTCCCTTATTTCACCATCACTTTTTTCTGACAACTTCATGTATTCTTTTTTTATTGCTTTCTTTCTTTTGAAATGGGGTTTCTTGCTATTCTAACATTACCCCTTTGAAGAGGTAACCCTAAAAGATTTTAGGGATTAGGTAAGAGCTCCCAAATACTTTTGTCATTTTTTGCCTTTGGATCAGAGTATGTTGCTAAGAGGCCCAAGGACATTTTGACTTTTAGCCAAGAAACTGGCTACTTTCCTTTGGGGTCTTTTTTACCCTAACTGCCTAGCCAATTCCTACCTCCTATTTGATCACACCATCCTCTGAAGAGGTTACCCAAATTACTGATGGGGAATCGGGTCGTAGACCACTCTGGCTTCTTCCATGCTGAACTTTCAAGAATGCAAGGTGATGCAATTGGGGTACCCCTCAGTGGGTCTATCTAAAAGACTCCCAAATTGCATAACTCTTATCTCTAGGGGGAAGAGAAAGTCCTTGACTGGTGAATAGGAGATGTGAAGGAGAAGTAAAGGCAAGAGTAGTTAGCATTACAAGTTCTAGACAGAGAACCAGAAAAAAGTCAGAACAGGGCAAATTTCAAATGTTCATATCAGAGTACGTTGGGATTTCTTGACGAGAGCTTCCAAAAGGATCCCTCTATTGGGTTCCTCCTGAAGAGTGATGGATTCAGGATTTGCTTTCAGGTATTTTGATAGCTGTTGGAGTGGGTAGAATCGGGGGCATTCTCAACCCCTATGCCAGAGGGAGGCCAGAACCTGGCACTCTCTGGCGGTCTGCTGAGATCACAGCCGCTACACCAATCAGTCTTTCATTTCTAACCAGGATACCTCGTTTTAAATTTTCTGTTCTGAAGATAAAAGCTCTTTGGAGATATTTCTTCTTAATCTTGATTTAAATTTGCCACATTTTTCCCTTTAAAAAGTAGATCTGGGGCTGGAGAGATGGCTCAGCAGTTAAGAACACTGGTTGTTCTTGCGAAGACCCGGGTTCAAATCCCAGCACCCACATGGCAGCTAACAACTGTCCATAACTCCAGTCCCAGGGGATCTGACAGCCTCTTCTGACCTCCACAGGCATTGCACGACACGGGTGCACTTACCTACGTGCAGGCAATACAGGCATACAATACACATAAAAAAATAATAAATAAATAAATGAATAAATTTAAAAAGTAGATCTAGGGATGGGGCTGGAAAGATGACTGAATGGTTAAGAACAGTGGCTGCTCTTTCAAAGGACCCAGGTTCACTTCCCAGCACCCATATAGCAGTTAACAGCCATCTGTTAATCCAGTTCCAGGGGCTCCAGCACCCTCTTCTGGCCACTGTGAGCACTGTACACATTCAGGCAAAATACTGATATACATCTAAATAAATAAATAAATAAATAAATAAATAAGTAATAGTAAATCTTGGGACTAGGGATGTAGTTAAATGAAAAGAATGTATGTTTAGCATGTGAAAAGCCCTTGGTTTGCCGGGCATAGTGGCACACACCTTTAATCCCAGCACTTGGGAGGCAGAGGCAGGCAGATCTCTGTGAGTTCAAGGCCAGCCTGGTCTACATAGTGAGTTCCAGGACAGCTGGGGCTACAGGGAGACCCTGACTCAAAAAAGACCAAAAAAAAAAAAAAACCTCCATGTACCAAAATACTTTTTACTCCTTTCTGGAGAATTGAAGTCTTTGTAACAAACCCTTCCTCTTTGCCTCACTAGAGTTAGCTGAGCTCAACTCAGTTGGAAGTCTTTGCTGTGGTGGTGGCGGTGGCAGTGGTGGCAGTGGCAGTGATGGTGTTGGAAGTTGTTTTAACCTTTTCTTTGTGATACTTCCCAAAGCTCTTGCTGCTGTTTTGTGTACACACACACCCCTAACACTCCTGGCCCCCAGCAGTCCAGAGTGTCCTTATGATAATAGTGGCTTACCTCATCTTCTTATCAAGTGTCCCAGTTGCCACCACGCACTGAAGTTGACACCTAAGACTCTAGGCCTGTGTTAAGTTCCATAGGTGTTTCACTAGGCATCTAAGACCTTGATTAGGTCAAAGCAGAACCTGCTATCAAGTCTAGGTAAGATTTAACACTCCAGTGTGAGATTATACTAGGAGAAGTCCAAAATGAAATAATAGTAAAATAAAAGTAAAAGTAGACTTCCTAGTTCTTAATTTAGCATTTCTTGAATGAACAGGATCCTAGGAAAGAAACTGTCATTCTTCTTGTCAAGAGATATCCCTAGGTGAGCTGATATAATTGGGCCCAAATTAGACATTCCTGCTCAGGAAAATTGCTTATTGTGAAGCCTTGGTCTGACAAAAGAAAGTCCTCAGTCAACAGAACAGCGTTCCAAAACCTTCCTTATCCATCAGGAGTGGTAGAAACCAAGTGACACTCAAAGAAGTTGAGTAATTGGCCTGAGCTGGTGAAGGAGACTTGAGTTCCTTGTCCTAATGTTGTTTCACAGCTGATTGATTACAGCGGAGGAGATTGTTTTTCAAGGGAAGATAGTTCCTAAATAAAAGGGCTTAAGCAAATCTGAATAATGGAAAGCTCAAACTCAGGTCAGGCACAGCAGCAAGCACCGTACCTGCTGAGCTGACTTACTGGTTCCCAGCCCAGATTTATCCAGTACACATTCTTCCTATAAATATTGAGCATTTGGAAAATTTAGGTTTTTATGGTCATATGATTATCATTTGTGTCTTAAAGGAAATCATTAACTAAAAATACTCTGTAAAATTTACCATAGTTCTCCCCAAATGCCTAAGCTATCCTACAGTAAGTACCTTAGGATATACCTATGGTACAGAATCTTTTTATTTAATATTTTACTATTTAATATTCCTTTTTAAGATTTATTTTATGTGGGGTTTTTATTTTATTTATTATTTTTATTTTATGTGTATGCATGTATTGCCTGCAGATAGGTAAGTGCACCCATGTCATGCAATGCCCGCGGAAGTCAGAAGAGGCTGTCAGATCCCTTGGGACTGCAGTTACAGACAGTTGTTAGCTGCCACATGGGTGCTGGGATTCAAACCCGAGTCTTCTGCAAGAACAACCAATGTTCTTAACTGCTGAGCTATCTCTCCAGCCCCCTTATTTTATGTTTTGCCTGTATGTATGTATGTGTACCATGTTCATGCCTGGTGTTCAAGTATGCCAGAAGAGGACATTGAATCCCCTGGAACTGGAGTTATGAACATTTGTGAGCTGTCATGTGGGTGCTAGGAACTAAACCCGGGTCCTCTGAAAGAGCAGTCAATGTTCTCTTTAACTGCTGAGACATCTCTCCAGCCCCCAGTTTAATATTCTTAAAGCAACCAAATAATAATATGCCGCACTTTGAATGAATGCTGGCATCCATGTTGTATAGCACATCTTTCCTGAGCATAAAGCAACACAGTGGCAGAGAGCATGTTTAAGTGTTGTATATGTAACTAAATTACCTAAATACAAAGTGACATTCACTGTGATTTCTTTCTTTCAGGGGTGATTATGTAAATGCTTTGGCTCATTATGAGAAAGGAATCACAGGCGACAATAAGGTAACATTGCATAAAGATGAGATATTCCTAATGCTCCAGGAGTTTGTTTCCACTTTCATTTTAAAATCTGGGTCTTATTTGCATTGTATTCATTCAGTATCTAGGAGCTGAACCTAGTTTTTCAGTTCATTAACAACTTTGCAAGAATAACCTTAAAACTGGAGATGGCAATATATTTTTATCCATCACATCTGCTTTCCATCACATCCTAAATATAAGTTTCTAATTAAGATTGAAGTAAAATTTTTATTTCTACCCATTAATAGACCAATATAATTTAGTAAAAGAATGCATAACAAATTATGGCATATCCAAGAGTGTTACATTACACACTCTTAAAAGATCAAACTACATTTCTGTGTACTGATTTAGAAAGGCCATGAGCAAGCTAATGCTGCTTTTCACAGAATGGATACCAGGTTGATCTTTGCTTAGTGATTTCATTCTTTTGTGAATACCTACATTACATACAATATGTATCATAGGCCAACTGTGATTTTCATAAAACTTTTCTTTTTACTCGTTTCAGTAATCACTTTGGAAAGTTAATTCCATAGTAGTTAATTCTACCATTTTACCTCAAACCTTTTTTTTAAAAGACCGAGTCTCACTGTGTAGCCCTGGCAGATCTAGATCCATCTTGCTGTGTAGACCACACTGACCAGAACTCACAGAGATACACCTGCCTCTGCATCCTGAGTGCTGAGATTAAAGGCGTGCACCACCATACCTGGCCCACACACTAAATCTTTGAAGATGAACCTATAAAGCTCATACCCATGGTGACACCTTCACACTCTCTCATTCCAGAATTTTAGCCCAAGTGGCTCAACTTTGCAATAGAAATTGGTGATTTTAAGTTATAAAGTCTTATAAAGATGTCTTATAAAGATTATCTTATTTTCTGTTTATATCTAGCATAGTTTTTACAAAAGGACTGCAAACTCATCCAATTTATTTTTATTTTTATTTATTTGTGTGTGTGTGTGTGTGTGTCTGTGTCTGTGTCTGTGTCTGTCTGTGTGTGCGCCAATATGTGTGGGTGCCCTTGGAAGCCAGAAGAGGGTGTCAGATCCCTTTGAGCTAGAGTGATGAGTGTTATGAGTATGGATGTTGGGAAAAGACTCCAGTTCTCTGGAAGAACAGGAAGCACACTTTACCCCTGAGTCATCTCTCAAGCCCCCAAACTCATCCAGTTTAAGAACATCACCAAAGTATGTTCATGTGAGAAGTGGGAGGCTAGTATTCACTCTTCTATTTGCACTATTTTTTTTTTTTTTTTTTTTTTTTTTTTTTTTTTTTTTTTTATATTATGACTATTATAAATTTTTCTGTTACATGTTCCACATTTTATGATTTGAATTCACAAAGATCCGCCTGCCTCTGCCTCCCAAGTGCTGGGATTAAAGCCGTGTGCCACCATGCCCAGCTATTTGCACTATTTTCTAATGTTTTTATATGTTGCTGTTCAAAATCTCTGTGAAGCACACAAATATATATGCAATGCAGATTTTTACAAAATGTGAATTATTCTTTTCTTCCACTGAGCAATGATCAGTAGGTTCCCATGACAGGCAAAGCAGCCTTTTGCTTATGCATGGCCTTTCCAAGCCGACATGTGTGAGTCTGGTTTAATTTTGTAAGAGCTTCTAATATTCCATTGCTTAGGTGTACTGTCATTTTTCATCTACTCCCTTATTTATGGAGTTTCTCTTCTAGTTCTCAAAAATAATGCAAACACTTCATTCAGTGAATAGTTTCCCTAGTAGTCACTGAAGACAGTATTTCTGAAGGATGTATTCTTTTGTTTTGGCAGCTAAGGATCAAGCCCAGAGCCTTGAGCATGCTACATAAGTACTCTGCCACTGAGCTATATCCCAGCCTGAAGGATGTATCTTACAGTTGAGATTTCCAGGCCATATATGTACTTTTCATTTTTGGTATTATAAATTGCTCTGGAAAAGGAATTATAGTAATCCATACACTTATCCATTAAATAGATATATTGTGTATTTCCCAGTATTCTCAGTAATACTGGATCATGTAATTTGGGTAAGTAAATACGTATATTATCTTATTTTCTATGTATTTGATTATTAGTGAAGTTAAACATACTTTATTACCTTGGGGTTTTGTTGTTGTTGTTGTTTTTATGAATTACCTTATCATAGCTTTAGCTCATTCATCTTTTTTAAAATTTTTACTTTTTTATATTTAGTTTATTGTAAGGATGGTGGCACACATGTAGAGGTCAGAGGACGGCTGGTGGGCATCAGTATTCTCCACCACATGGGTCCCGGGGATCAAACTTAGATTCTAAGTTTTGACAACAAGCACTTTGACCCACTGAGCCATCTAGCCAGCCCTCTGTTGGACTTTCATACCAAGAAGAGGTATAAAACAAGGCACCCTCACCAAGAGTAGCAAAAACTTTAAGTATAAAAGGTCTAGACTACAATTTTGTATTAGTTGATTTAAAATGTGTGTGTGCGTGTGTGTGTGTGTGTGTGTGTGTGTGTGTGTGTGTTTCAATTTCAAAATTGTGAGACTTTCTTAAAATGATAAATGATAGTACACTTTGCCTGGCTGAAATGCATCATGTGAAACCAGGGTCTGGTACATTAGGACTTGCCTTGTCATGACAGGAACACGATGAAGTGTGTCTGGCTGGAGTGGCCCAGATGTCCATAAGAATGGGAGACATCCGCAGAGGGGCTAACCAAGCCCTCAAACACCCCAGCAGGGTCCTCAAAAGAGACTGTGGAGCCATACTGGAGAATATGAAGGTATTCCTTGGTCTGTAGATATTTATGTGATCTTATCACAAGTTTAGTATTTTAATAATCCTCTATTTTAGCAATTTTCAGAAGCAGCCCAACTATATGAAAAAGGCCAGTACTACGACAAAGCTGCCTCTGTCTACATCCGCTGTAAGAATTGGTAAGGGCTAGTAGAGTTTGGTTTAGAAAGTAGTATGCCTGGTCTCCTCACTTGTCCCTTCGGCACTCTTCTGTCCATCTGTTCTCTGGGATCTGCCTTCTGTCTCTATTTTCACTATGTGAGGAATTCCCATCAACGGTTGCTCCCCAAAGAGCAGCACCTTCTCCTGTTTGGTATATGTTATGGGAAAACAAAAACTTTATTGTCCCATAAGAGTTAATGAGCTAATCTTCATCTTCCCACCCTGTGGATGAAGGAGAAAGTGCCAGGAGGAAAGGCAGTTAGGGGGCTGAAGAGATGAATCAACAATTAAGAGCACTGGCTTCTCTTGCCAGAGGATCTGGGTTCAGTTCCCAGCACCCATGACATCTAACAAGTGTCCATAACTCCAGTTCCAGAGAATCTGGTGCCTTCTTCTGACCTCCACAGGCATTGCATATATGGGTACACTTACATATATGCAGACAAAACACTCATACATATAAAATAAAAAACATAAAAATTTTAAAAAAAGAAAAGGCAGTTAAGTCTACTTTTTTTTTTTTTTTTTTTTTTTTTTTTTTAAAAAAAAAAAAAAAAAAAAAAAAAAAAAGAGGACGATAAATCTTTCACTGTGATATATCAAAATAA